CAAGGTGATTATTAGGATTTTGGTCGGATTCGTTTTGATGATATCCCTCCAAGAAAAAACGATTATTATTGGTTTCGCCTTGATGATATCCCTCCGAGAAAAAATCATTATTATGATTTTGGTTGGTTTCGCCTTGATGATATTCCTCCGAGACAAAATCATTATTATGATTTTGGTTGATTTCGTTTTGACGATATTCCAACAAGAAAAAATTATTATTATTATTTTGGTTGGTTTCGTCTTGACGATATTCCAACACGAGATAACCTAAAACCTGATTATTAGAATTTTGGTTGGATTCGTCTTGATATTCTTCTTCGCGAAAATCTTCAAACCGAACATTAGTCGAATGAAACGCTTTTAATACGGATGAAATTTTCTTGTAGGCTTCTTTGTGATGATCCGGCAGTACTTTCCAGCCTTGGCTTGCAAGGTCAGAAATTTGCTTAGCACCACCACTAGGAAGCTTTAGCGCTTTTATACATGCTGTGATGGATGCTCTAAATATTAAAAACGCGTTTGGTGCATTCTGTTGGCGATCGCCGTTCCTTTTGTATTTTAAAAGAAATATTTTGCTGGAAGATAGGAGGGAAAAGCTTGTACATAAAGTTTTGACATTTTGCAATTAATTTTACCAGACGAATATAATTAAAAGAAAAGTCGATTCCCTAAGACTATTAAAAATATTGAATTTGATGGAAAAAAGAAACAAAAAGCAAAAAACAATAGCTTATTATATAAAATTCGAAAGCAAGTTTTTATTTAGACAACAGTGGACATTATGCTTTCTATTCGACCAAATATACAAGATCTCATTGAATAATTTAAAAAATGTTTGCAATAAGCTATTATTTGTATTACTTTCTCATCAGGTTTCTCGTAATAAAAATAATGCTGTCTACATTAGCATTTTAGAATCAAGATTCAAGCATTAAATATGACATTAATAATACAAGTACATGAATCAAGTTTCTCGTAATAAAAGAATGCTGTCTAAATAAAGCAATTCGCATTTACATTAGCATTTTAGAATCAAGATCAAGCATTAGATATGATATTAATAATACATAACGATAACTATAATGCTAAATGTGATTATTTATTTTAAAAATAGACGGTTAAACGAGGAATGTAATTTGTAAATACAAATGTACAATGCTTAGACGTTTGTTAAGTATTAATTATAAAGGTGATGATGAATCAATATGTTCGGAAGACTATTATACAAATTTATTAAATATGATAACTAACTAAACTGTCAAAGAAAAATCAGCTTATCTAGTAAATTCAGTTTATCGAGACAAGTTTACTATAACTATTCCTAAATCAATTTCAAGTTATCGAGGCGTAGGTTTACTGGGAACAAAATTGGGTTTATGCAGGTTTACGCTTCGATTTAACGTGGTGTCACATCTCTAATTCGTGATTTTGGGAATCATCAAATAAATTTAACAAATATGGGGTTCAATTTAGAATACAGGAATAAACATATTAATAAAGAATAAAGTGTTGAGTGCTTATTGTGCCCTATAAATAAAGACAAACACCAGCATGCAAGTGACAAATTCCGTATACATAACCACGTTACGGGCATGTTTTTTTAACACGGAAATGGCAGAATTTGACGGTCCGTGCTTGGAGTGTACACAGATTTGGTACGGTGCTGTTACTGGATATGGTACGGTTTAATAGTATAATTTATACTTCGAACCCATACCTAAGGGTACTTATTATCATGCTGAATTTGGCATACTACCCATACAATTGCCGTACCGCACCGAATACTACACTCCGCCGTGTTTATGCGTTTTATTACCATTCGTTGCAATTTCTGTGGTTCTTGCGTGCTCGCTTTTTTTATAGGTGCTTTTTACAACGAATTTAGATTTGTTACAGTTTGGTTTTTAGTGAAGATGTGATAATTATCTTTTCATAAAATAAAGATAAGTAAAACCATTCGTCACGTCGATTTGACGAAACCTTTCGCCTGGCAACTTTGGAAATGTAAATGGCGAATGACGAATTGAGTAAACTAAGCCGTAAAAACATAGATTAAATTAACCTTTGTCGATTTATCTGTTTAGTTTTTCTGTTTGCATAATTTTTACCAGTTACAGTATTCATAATGCAAAATTCGGCATAATTTTGATTATCCATGCCTCCGGCAAATCAAATACTAGAATGATCGATAAGCTATTATTTTGAATGGTCAGACGGTTTCGTCATAGCTTTCGTCAATCGTCATAGGTTTCGTCCTACGAATGACGTGACAATACCTTATGTTAGTATGAAAATGGTTTCGTCAGGTGTCATTATTCTCAATACCAAAAATCTCTTGGTAAAAGAAAAGGTTTCAAAAGATAGTATGTTTAAAAATCTCTTTCTAAGAAGGTTAATTAAAGATCCCTCTATAGGAGAGATTTTTTTTGGACACAATACTCTCTTATATCGAGAGTGAGTTGTGTAAAAATTAACTGAAATAAATAATTTGAAATCATGATAAATAAACTCAAAGAAAAGAGGCTTTCCGTTGCAAGTGACAGAGGTAAATTCAGATCTTAAAAATATTCCTCTCAGGAGATGGACAGTATTATATATAAACAGAATTAGTAAAGAAACAAGATTCTTTGTGGAAATGCAATTCTAGAAATTCCAATTTCCCAAACTCTTTATTCAACTAATTACATAAAGATTCTATTGAAATTCCGAAATGAAAGCCAAAAAACATTGTAAAATTATTATCGTTATGATGTTTCAAATGTACACATGTACGTACGTACATCGACAATATAACAAATGCTGTTTATTTTTCATTTAAGTTCAGTACAATTATACATGTACATGTATTACGAAATTATATGAATGACAAATGCTATTTGTGCTCCTATCTTACTTTGTTTTCTACCATTATTTAAATAAAAACAAGCAGAAAAACATCAACACGCATTGTCATTTGCATTATAAGTACATTATGTTTAGTGTGATATTAATAAATGACTATCGCTATATCGATATACAGTATACGTACGTATGTTGTGCGTCAGACAATGGGATAATCATACAGTCTAAGCGGTACTAAAAATGATTATTTTTTTAATGTTTTTTCTATTTTTCTTTTATAATGGACATTTTTTCATTTAATCAAAAATAACCATTTAATCAAAAATAACCATTTAATCAAAAATAACCATTTAATCAAAAATAACCATTTAATCAAAAATAACCATTGAATCAAAAATAACCATTTAATCAAAAATAACCATTTAATCAAAGCAATTAATATTTTTTCAATATCTAGGGGAGTCAACTTTAGCTTCTGAAAAATTCTGTTTATTTGGGAATATCTTGTAGAATATTTTCTGAACAAAAAATCTGAGATAGTCATGATGAATATAAGAATACTGACTTTTACCGATTGTGTGATCATAAAGGTCCAACTGTGTCGTGAAAGATCATTGGGGTTATAATCCATTTGAATAGCATTCACTTAGCAGAAACTACTCATTTGCAAGTACATGTGGTTTTTCGTTTAATTTAATTCTAATGAAATTCAAGCTACCAATGGAGAAGCAAATATAGAAAGGACGGAGTGTGTGATGCTTTACAAAGTATGCTCCAATCTTTTGAGAGGATCATGATTTATATCTGGATGATAACAATTCTCTACGATCATAGTCGGTTGAGCTCTGATGGAGGAAAATATTTTGATATTGCGGATTATGAAGTATTCCAAGTGGTGCTGATGTAAATCTAATTTTACTTTTTTATATATAGTGCTCGCCATATATAACGAGAATGCTGTTTTCCTTATTTTGCTATGAAAAAAATATCGAAATTATATATGAAAATTTGCAGATATACAGTTTCGTATATTGCGATCAAGTTAATTTAAGACTACTTTATAGAATAATAAATTGTAATTACTTCCAATTATCCTGATAGTTCACTTTAAATGAAACAAAGACAATTAATCTAAATGGTGGTTTGTTTATTACATCATGAAAATTGATAAATATTTAAATATATATACTTTGATATATTGCAAAAAAGTTTTCTTAAGGCAACTTTAGCTTAAAATATTAAAAAAAAAAAGCCAAAAAGAAAATTTTTTAATTAAATTTATAGAATTATATCAAAATTCAGATCAAATATTTGAGAATAATAGAAATAAGCTATGTTATTAAGTAGTCTTAAGAAAACCTGTTTGCAATATATTAAAGTATATATCTGTAAATTTATATATTTCAAGTAGTTTTTATAATGCAAAAATAAAAAAGGTATATTTTTCTCATTATATATGGCAAGCACTGTACATTATTGAGAATTTCTGCCAGAATTTCATAACTTTCCACGTGGCTCTCACTGATCTATACAAGTTATTTTCTATGATATCTGGTGAAACTATTTTATGCTTAAAGATTTCGTTATTTGTTGAACAAAATCTATAATGATTAATGAAACATATGACAAAATCTTCAACATCAAGAAATTTATTAACCATATTTTTATATGTACAGATTAAGGATGGTTGCTAAAATGACATTATCTACTTAAATAATTTGCTAAAATTAACTTGCTGAAATTAAATCCAAAATTATTTTGACTTATTTTATTAGTAGCTGAAATTGTTTTTCAAATTATTTGAATTCTACAAATCAAAACAAGCATTTCTAGATAATTTTTAAGTATTTATTAATATAAGCAACATAGAAACTGAATTATTTGCAAAAATATCATTTTTTTCAAAAATAATTTGGAAAACCATCTTTAGTACAAATGCCATTATATATATCCAGAATTTTTTATCACAGATAAAAAATTTTATTTTTATTATTTTTTATTTATTTAAATTTTGTTCTATATTTCTACAAATCTATTACTAACTATAAAAAAATTAATAATCTATTTTTTTCCTTTATAATCAATCACCTCCAAAAGATAATTTTTCATACTTTCTGCCAATCTAAGGAAGAGAGAGATCTTTACTTAAATTCATCTATTCCTGATAAATTATTGCTTGAAAATTATCTTTAGAGAGTTTTTTTTGCTAACCATATATTTGATTCTTTCTTCATCTTTCTCTTTAATATTATCTATAGATTCTTAATGGAATTTATATTCAGTAAGTAGGAAAACCAATTAAGAATTCAAATATAGTGACTTTCAAAAAGATCAGTTATTTTATTGAAAACACAACCAATAATTTGCTTGGAAACATGAGAAAAAAGTGAGTTTCAAGAATTTCTCAGTATCTTTTAGTATTGATATTTCTAGTAAATAAGATGAATACAATTGGTTCTTGTACACAAAATGCATCCCAAGTATAAACTTTATAAGAGTGCTTTACTATACTTTAGTATAATCATGAAGAGTCACAATGATACTGTTACAAGTTTGTTCATTAATCATTAAATTAGCTTACAAACAAGAATCTGAATTGGGAGAGGGTATAAACTGATAAAAAATATTAAGAGAGAAGAGAAATATCTAAGATCTATTGTTACAGCGATTCTGGATAGTGGGTTTCACTGAGAATCACTATAAGCATATGATGTTGGGAGAGGGACAATTAAACTTAAGTAAAGAGAATGAATTATAAATATTAGCA